ATCCAGGTCCACGGTGGTCTGACGGGGGTGAGCGGCCCCTCCTTGGACTGGTGAGGCTGAACCCCAGCAGCAGCAGCAGCAGCAGCAGCAGAAACAGGGGCCAAGCAAGAAGGGACAGGAAGAGAGGACCCATCTTCAGTCCTGTTCGCCAGGTCCATCTGCTGGGTACGAAGTTACAGGGCTACAATGCGCCGGCGCCGGGCAAGCTGGCTCCCTATCACGTGACCCCCACAGGCTCCAAACAACATCGCTAGAATTAGCCTGACTCTGCAGATGAGAAAACTGAGGGCCAGGAAATAAGTAAACTGTGTGTTGGATTGGCCCCACCAGCCTCAACTCAGCTGCCGCCTCCTCACAGGAGAGCAGCTCCCCACCCCACCACGACGCGTTCCGGCCTACACCGGCCCATGTCCAAGACATTCGTCACCTTCGCAAGTGCACGCATGGCGTTAGCAGCTGCTTCCCGGCCAGACCCGTGGTCCACGGAGAGCAGGGGGTGTACCTGTCTTATCTCCCTCGTGTCCCTGAGGCCTGAACCTCTGTACAAAGTCTCCTCCCTGCACCTCCAGTCCTGGACAACGCCATGGAGCCCCTCCCTGCCCCTCTCTCTTTCCTGGACCTGCACCAGTCAATGGCTACACAGCCAAGACCCACGCCATTCCTCTCAGGGGCAGAACACGCGCCCTTGGCCTCCTCAGGGTGGGCCTGGAGGGTGCCATCGTTCCACCAGTCAGGTCGACCTGTTCAAAGCTGTCTCACACACACACACACACACACACACACACACACACACCACCACCACCACCACCACTACCCCGGCTCCCTGTCCCACATGGAGAGCCTCAGGGACCCACACGTCTGGGGATGAGGTGCCTGGTGCCCTGCCTGTGGCCACGCCCTCTGTGAGAGAGAGTCTGATGGCACCACAGGGTCTGCCCGCCCCCTGCTCCCTCCCTGTGCCTGGCCCTCATCCCAGCCCCCCAGGGGGAAGGTGATACATGGGGAACAGGGAGCTGACGCTTCCACCAAGCATTAGCGTTTATCTCCCTGGTTTACATGGCTGGACAACGGTCCATTTTCAAACTTGATCATCAACACTCAGGAAGATAAAACTGCCCGGGGCCACTGCTGGGTGACCTCAGGGTTTGGTGGGAGACCCGGAGGGTCTGGGACCACATCTCTGGGCCCCAGCACCCAACCCAGGGCAGTTGTTCCTGGGATGAGAGGGGTAAAAACCCTAAGAGGGCACGTTTGACGGCCCTCCACAGTGGGTGGGCCTCCAAGGAGGAGGGGACCAGGGGTTCCAGCTCACGCCTCCTTTGATGTTCTGTCTTGTCCCAGAGCCCCTTGCTCACTCTTGGGGCTGCAGACTGAGCCCTCCCTGGGTAGAGAAAAAGGGGATCTCCCCTCCCTGACCCTGTGGGCCCTGACTTCCTGCTCAGGGCACCTTCCATCCCAGCACACCCAGCTCTGCTGGCTGCTGGAAAGGGAGGGACGCAGCTGGGGGAGGATCGGGCACATGGCCTTCAAGACAGAGACCTGAATCAGAAGTCCACGGCCACAAACTCAGTTCCACCTCACAGCAAGCCAACCACTCCCTCCCTCCCTCACTCCCTCCATCAGCCAACTCCACCCCACAGAGACCCTATAGGGCAGGGTAGAACGGCCCCTGTGGGCTTCTGAGACTGTACATCTCTACAGGAGTAGAAAGTCTCATCATTCTCCCTCAGAGAAGCCAGTGGTTTCAAACTGCTGACCTTGC